CTACCAAAACCTTGCCATGCAGACCTGTTACTTATGTAACACCAAGCTGTACAGGACAGTTCATGACTTTTGCAATTATTTCAGCAGCTGAGTGATTACTCGTCAGCCTTCCACGGCCAGGACCTTGGCTCCCTTCTTCCCACTCAGTACCCTCTCCCTGCATGAGAGTTAGAAGGCTGTAGAGAAGCAGGGAGGGGGTCTCTCTTTCTTGTGTCAGAAATCTGGAGACCTAGTCCTATTTGACAGTGATTTTTAGCTAATCTGGTACTCAGAGTGCACTTCCAGTAACAGATTGTGGATTGAGGGGGTTGTATAGGAAGCTTGTCAGTGGACGGTATCTGGTGTCATATCCCAGCCCTTCTAGCAGGGCTCGCAAGGGATTACTGGTTTCCTTAACACTGAGAAAACACAAAAATGGAGCTTTGTTAGTGAGTAGCTATTCTTGCTGAGTAACTTGGGTACCGGATATGTTTTGGTGGATAATCCTTGATCCTTCCAGTTCCTGTTGGACATAATTTTGGGTTAGGCTGGTGACTTCTTTCTGCTCTTGTCCAGGTACTATTCCCAATCAAGGAAAATTTCTGGCTTAGTTCTACACGTTTTTTCTGCCTAACCATTGGTGTAATTTCTGTGCTGATATGAGCAAAAATATTATTGATAACTCTGTAGCTGCCAATAGGCTTTTAGTGGAATGCATTTGCGTTTGGTGGTCTTTGGTGCAATGTTTCCTAAGAGCAACAGACTGCTGTGTGATTTTTTGCTAATGCATAGTTGGCCAGCATCCCCATATTTCTAAAAACCTCATCCGGTGTGTTATTTTCTATGAGATTTTTTCATAGTGGTTTCTGAAAGAGCAGTTGTCCCTTTAGGGAACTGTGAAAAACTTGAATCAACTTTTACAACTTATGCTTTTTGTACCACAAACTCCTCTTTATCCACTGTTTCTAGACATTAAATGCAGGTATATTACCATTTGTTGTTAATTACCTGGCTTTAAACAAAAGATTTTGACGTTACCATGGAATTACTTCTCCAAAAACTGCTTGGATTGTGTTTTGTTCCTAAGATGAACCAACTTTGTGATATGTGCTGCTGCTTTTTTCTTTTTTCTTTTTTTTTTTTTAACAGGATCTTTAAAAGTAATTCTGCCCAGAGTAAGAGTACCTTATTAAACTCATTCAGTTTAAGGCACAAGTACTGTAGAAATGTACAAGACGTTAAAGAGAAAAAGTCCTCCCTCAAAATCCAAATTTCATTACTTAACTGTATGTCCTAAGTGTTGAGGTGGAATACTTTTTAAGATTTTGACCATTGTGATTTAAAGCAAATTAAGTAAGATACCATGGTTTATGTGATTCATTAGAGATATATCTCCTTTAGGAAATAGTATTTTGGCATGTTGAGGGTGAAAGAACCTTTTACGTGTGTGTGTGTTATTAACATGTGCACTAAGGTTTTTGTTCTGCTTAAAATACAGTAGTCCCCCTTAAAACAAAGTAGAAAAGTGACTCTCTTTGGTAATGAGTGGTGAAAAAATGCTACTGAAGTAGCATTTCACACTTACAGATTTCCTTGAACTGTATACATTTAGTCTCAACTATTCTCATTCCAGTTCCTTATAACACTTCTCTACTTTCTCTACTTACTAGATTTTTTTTTTTTTTTTTTTTTTTTTTTTTACTCTATATCACTTGATTTAAAGTTGTGGGCTGAGATGTGTGAAGTGCATAGTGGTAAAGCATCAGTGGTCAAACACCTAACTGACTTTTCTCTGTAACCGTGTGTCATATAAGTAGAAGTAAAGGGAGCGTGATAGAAAAGAAGGTATTGATGGTGACTCTTTAACGATAAAAGGCACCTGAAGATTGATGAAATGCTGAAATTAAATACTATCTCCTGACCCATACCAGAATGTTGGTCCTTCTGCAGCTTACCTGAATGTAATTTAAAGGAAAATGCATGTTATAAAGCACAAAGTGACTATTTGTCCTTTTTTAAAAGGAGGTGAATCAGAAAGCTGTTGCAAAGTAGTCTCCAGAGATATCAAAACGATAAACCAGCAGCGAAAGCCATTTGTAAGACATCTTTCTGCCTGCCTTAATATGTGGCTCTGCTCTGCAAAGGAACTTTGTAAGAATGGAGCTTGGTAGACACTGTTTGAGAAATATCTGGGTGATCTGTTAGGAAGATGAGATAATCTGGGGAGCATCTTTCAGGTTCAAAGCCAAAGATTTTGGATACCCTACTGTTACTACTTACTCTTCTTTTAGTGTGGTTTCATGTGTTTCATTTTCTTCGTAGCTTTGAAGGCAGTTCAATTACTTTCATAGTTCTGTATTTGTAAAACTTCCTTTATGTATAAGGCAAACAAGAGTCTTAAATCAGTGTGTTGTCCCACAGAGGTGCTGATCCTTCGAGGCTGAGAGAATTGGGTTCTGTTTTTTCACTGGAATTCATAAAGATGAATGGAAAAGTTGGGTGAAATAGATTTTAACAAGTAAGAATTTTTGCGTATTTAATGTGTAACTGCTCTAAGCAGTGGATAGAGATAGTATAGTTCAGTTTCTAAGAGCTTACCCTTTCATTAGCTTTGAGAGTGCACTGGTGGCTTAGACAAGGTGGTTTTGCCCTGACACAGGGCAGGAACATAGTGTTTCAAGTGGAGAACAGTGGCTTAAAATATAGCTGTAGGTAGATAGATCCCAAGGAATTTTAGCTGTCTTATCCCTTGTGCCCTGTGCAGTTCAAAGTGTAACTGACTGGTGTGTCTGAGTGGACAAGATGCAAGGACTGTACAGGAATTGTTCATGCATTTCAGAAGTATTTGAAAGGTGAGAGTAATATTTAAAAGGCAGCTCTTTCTGTAAGTGTCCCTGTGATGGTTTGCGACTTAGTGTCCAAAGCCCTGTCCTCACAGTTTGCAACAGAGCTGATAAAACTGTCTTCTTCACTTGTCTTGCTAGCCATTTGCATCACTTTGAAGCTGTCTGCATAGACCCTTCTGCAGGCTTGAGGCTTAATTGTAGACTTAGAACTGCAAATGCAGCAGTATCAAGTATCCAAAAGCAGAAACTAACAACTTCAGTTTTATCTTTTGAACACTGAGGCTTTTTGGTACACTTTCAAGAAATTTTATGTATTGTGTTTAAGCTAAGTATAAATAACTCCATATGCATTCTTCAGTCATGGGCTTAGGATTTTTTGGGGGGCAGAGTGTCAGGGTTTTTTTTGAGGTTAGTATTTTTAGTGTTTTCATCTTTGTTTTAGTGAAGATGACATTTGCATTTAAAATTTTGCGAGGATAAGCCTATTTTCAAATAGGCTATTTCCACAATTATTCTCAAACACTGCCTGAATTTTATTGTTATAGCTGGAATGCAGCTTATGGATGTTTTATTCTCACATTATGCACAGATGCTTGTATTTCTGCTCTTTTCCTTGATGATGTAGGAATGCACTAGAAATAAAATAATTGGTCTCCCTGTTGAACAGTTTTCAAAGCCAAGAAGATACTGTGTGTAATTTGATAGAGTCATAGTGAAGTTACTTTTCTGTTTTCTGTTTTTCTAATGTAATAGAAACCAAAGATGGAAGAGAAAATCAAGTTTGGTATTTGAAAATATCAAAACTAGCATTGGCTTTTGCAATTATCCACTCAAAACCACCAGGGAAGAGTTGCAAAGAATACACTGAGCACCTGGCCAAAACGGTATCCGAACAAGATTTTGGATGGAAATCGAAAGTTGGAGCGCTGGAAGCTGAAGTTCTTCGATTACGTCAGGAACTTCTTTTGAACAAGATCTGTCCAAGATACTGCTTGGAAAATGGTAAGTTTCAGAAATAATTTCTGGCTGTATTGCACTAGGAAGGAAACAAACAGCTTTCCTGTTGCCTGCACGATTTCTTGTACCTAGATATGGGAGTCCTGGGTGTCCAGCTTTCTATTTTTCCCAAAGCTCTGAAGTAGAACACTTAATTTATTTGTAATGGGATTGAGCTTAAGAATTTGATGCTTACTCAGAATTTACATATTGATACTGAAGGTTAAAAATTTATCTTACGGAGTAATTCCAGACAAAATCGCCATTACAAAATGTTACTCTATAATCAGAGATGCTGCTTTGTAAGAATATTGATGTACCCTATTTATATTTGGAATATGTCTTAAAGACATGCTGCATTTTTTTTTTTTTTTACACTTTAAAGATGCTTAAAATCAGAATTCAGAATTTAAGCCTAATGTGTAGAAAGCATGAATCCCTAATATGTATAATGGGAAGGTTGGGCAGGCAAAGGACTGTATGTCTGTTATTTCTGTTAACATATTTAGACTGTGGATGCTGTGAATGTTTACTGTGACATATAAAAATACTGTGAGTCTGATATTGTATGATTCAGGAAAGCTGTTATTTAAAGAATATGGAAAAAAAGAAAGGAAAAAAAAAGATGAGCTCAAACAGCACTTTTTCTCTGACTTGTGCATGTGGAGTGAGTCATTCTCACTCTGAGAGATTAATGGTACAGGACGAGCTTGGAAATCAGGCAGTGGAGGATGTCTCCTAGCTCTGGGGAGATATTTCTCCTGGGAGATGGAGGTCAAAATGTGCTGGGCTGAAGGAGAGAGGCGCTGTTCACTGTTGAGGAGATCTGTAAAATCAAAATGTATAGCTAGTTGCTTTATGACTTGAGATCTTTAGAAGGTTCCCTGACAGAAAGCTTGATGAGGCTTTACTGGAATGCTTTTGTACTGAAACAGTAGCTTCTTTATTGTCTTATGAAAAATTTCTGGATTCTGACAGAGAGGGGGGACATGTTAGACTGTAGCTAGAAGGAAGAATGTTGTGCGTTTGTTTTGGTTTGGTTTTTTTTTTGGTTGGTTGGATTTTTTTGGTTTTGTTTGATTTTGGTTTTTTTTTTATAATAGACCTTTCTCTCTATAGAAGTGATTTACTGACTATTCGTATTTAGTTATCATTTGTGTGTCTGTTCTCTGCCACCTGTTCCAAATGTGAAGTTTATTTAAGAGTAAAAGTGACTTTCAAGCTGCTGTTTGTAACAGATGTCTTAATGTTGTAAAGAACCGATTGCATGTGGTGCAAATGATCAGGAGAGATTTATTAACAATTGATGTCTGAAGAGGATATTCTAATTTGGATTAAGCAGAACATATCAAACACTACAAATTATATCAATTCATCTGCAACTTCTGTGTTCCAGGTCTAACTTTTTAAGAAAATCTTTACCCCAAGCTGTTGGACTGAGCAATACCGATATCTCACTTGCCAAAGTAAGCTCTTTTAGTTGCAGGACAGGCAGAGGAAAGCCACTGTCCCTAGCAAATAACACCTCTTCCAAAGGATGTCAATTTTCATTGCCCTAGTCACGATGAAGTTTGTTCACAGACCTAAAGTGTGATAAATCTTGTCTAATTTTAGATGACTACGGCTGCACTAAATTTTCTATGCTGTCATACCTGTACAGGTAAATAGCCTGCCTACTCTACAGTATGGTTTACTTGACCCATTGAAATATTCACTAGTATGGATATGGTGAATTGTCTGCTAGCAATAGGTCTTTTCACCGGCTTAGAAAACATTCCATGATTTCTAAATCACTTCAATAAGCTGCTTTTCATAGATGGCTCTTTTTGGTTTTTATGTTCTCAGCAGCCTGTTCAAACATACTTTGGGTAGCTGACCAAGTCTCGTGTCTTAGTGAATTTCAGTCTATGTTTAGCTAATGGAATCGTAAATAGTAGAGATGAGTACCTGGTATTTATAATCCTTCTATGTTCCTTCAGATTCTCCAGGGTACAAATCCAACACCCTATGAATTTGAAGGATTAATGTGTAGCTGCTTTTCCCTTCAAATGTTTGTTTATATTTATGATTACAGTGTTGATAAACCTGTTAGGCAGAAAACCTTTTGAGGTTTGAAATATGTATGGGAGTTCACATCAGCCCCAAATGCACCAGGTGCTGTTCAAAAGGAGTAGGGCATAGTCTTCCCCTTCAGTTTCTTTTAACCCCTTGGGTGTAAGAGCACAAATGTGTGGAAAATCTGAACTGTTATAGTTCCTATTTCTTCATACAAGTTTTCATTAACATTGAAAGGATGCTTTTGAGCTCTTGGAGTCTAACTCAGAGATGGCCATTTTTTGTGGTATTTCTTTTGACTGTTTCTTTTTTGTTTGTTGGTATGTTGGTTTTTTTTTTTTCCCTCCTTCTTAAACCTTGGTATGATATGTGAACTCTCCTCATAATGGATTTGAGCCACATGTTATTTTGGAAAGATGTTCTTCATCAGACAGATGCTGAGTGAGCATTAATGATTACAGTTACGTTGGAGACAAACACTCAGTCTCTTGCTTTTGCGTAAAAGATCGTTACCGATACCTGACGCGATATCTGTTGGTGAGATCTGTGCGCTCTTCTGGTGATCGAGTTAACAATATGTAGTAGTAGCAGAACACCTGCAGCTGACAAGGGAGGTGGCTGTACAAGCAAAGCCTGCCTGAATAGGGGCCACGCCCCCACTGATGTCTTCTGCTCTGGGAAAAAACAGTTTCCTCTGTTGTGTGTTGTGCCAGATTTGAAATTTTTCAAGCCCATGGAGATTAAAAGCTAAAGGCTGGCTAGTGCCAGCCTTGATTGGCTACTAAGAAGGCACAAGGAGCTTGAATCTACGTTGAGAGGAAAAGTGATATAAGTGGTGTTCCATCCTGTTCACCTGAAGGCTACTACAGATCCATCAACCCATTGTTATGGTTTGTTGTTGATGGTATATTGCTCACATTTATTAGTTAATATCACACCAGAGAAATTCTCTAGGGCTGAGGATAACTGGGCTTGTTCTTAGGTAATCTACAGGTATGGATCCTTTTCCTCCTCTACTTGTTTCTCCAGTCTCTCTCCATTTTTGGAGCTGGAGTTCTGCTTAAAGCAATGCAACTTCTTAAAAGAATTCAAACCCTCAGCTTTTTGTTGGCTTTCTTGTGTTCTACTTAACAGCTTATAGATGCAAGAATACCAGGGTTTCACAAAATTCACCACTGAATCTCATGCAGTAAGGATCAGATACTGCATTTGTGTCTGCTGCTGCCTATTGAAAGCTGAAGAGTTTGAGTCCTTCAGCCAAGGTTCACTTTACAGCTGTATCTTTCCTGCTCTGCATTCTGAGTGTGAGAGCTTTCTTCACCCACCTGCTGTTTGTAATAATAATAGTAGGTCTTTCAGAGGCTTCAGGAATGATTAGGACTGCCCATGGAGTTTTATTTCCCTGATGTGAGGAATTTGTGAGCTCTTTGAAGCTGTGGTGCAATGTTTTCCTTCTCCACACAAAGCTGCACACAGTATGGATGCGCAAGCACATGAAGGAGAAAGAACAAAATACCTATTTTAAAAGATATGTTGTCTAAATTATTTTTGTCCCACCCGAGTAGTTCGTTGTCCTCAGAGACCCTAAAAAAGTTTGGGGTTCCTTGCTGAGGATGAGGAGCATGCTTTGCTACAGGTAAACTGGTAGTATGGGTTGTTACAGTTTAATGCGGTGTTTGTAAAATTGCTGTGGTATATATTCACTGACTGTGCTGTGTGAAGTTCCTTGTTTGACTTAATGTGTAGCTGTCTTTCTGAATACAAGGACACTGTTTTTTCTTTTACATGGTGGTGCTTTTAGCTGTACATCAGCTGTCCGAAGAGGAGGAGAAGCGAATATTTTTGTAATTGTCTGTTCATTATTTTTTGCCTTGCTAGTATTGTTCTGACAACTATGCCCATGGGTATATATATAAAAAAATAATCAAATTTCATATTAATCAAAGTTTTTTGCCTTTCTGTGATTGAAATTTCACAGAAAAGAGGAGAAAAGCTTGTTGGTGTTATTCCAAGAATAAGAATATGAAGTATTTGTGCTTTCTGTTATCACTTTGCTTTGGAATTACATGAGAAGACAAAGGGTCTTACAAAGCATTGATGAATTGGTAGAGTGAAGCACCTGTCCTCTAAGACAATTCCTTAGCTGTTATCAGCTCATCAAATCAAAAATCATATTGTTTCTTGGCAGCTTCTGTTAAAGAGATCTGAAAAGCCTGCAGCTGTTACTCCAACCTAAGAAGGCATAAACACGATACTCTACCATTTCTGCCAAGCATGTATTTTAGGAATGACAGTTGAGAGGATAGATGTTTATTGCCTTGGTTGCTTTAGGCTGATACTCTTGAAGGGTTCAGTTATCCAAGGTCTATTTTTAGTAAAAATTATACTGAGTATGTATTCTCCGTTCCTTAGCTTCACCTTCGATTTTGGTTCATATTCTTCCCTTCTTAAGCAGTGGATAGGAATTTACTGAACTGAAAAATCTTAAAATAAAAAAAAAAAAAAAAAAAAAAAAAAAAAAAACAAAACAAACCAAAAAAAAACCCCAACAAAACAAAACAACAAAACCAGATTCTCTCCTCACCCCTTCTTTTTTAAGAATTATTTTATTCTTCTTTTTATAGATCACATGCCCTGAAGTCCCCTCCTGTGTTCTTAGCCTCCACAGTAGCATATGGGTGCCAGCCCACCTTACCAGAGTGTGTCTGTGTTTAGGGAAATGCTGAGTCAGAAGTGATGAACGTGAATGTCTAATTTTTAACTGTGTCCTGAGGCTGTGTACTGTCCCCTAAATTCTGCTCCCTGTGTCAAGACATTTGAAGCAACTTGTATCTCTTTAGGGAGTAAAAGCCAGAGACAAAAAGAATTTTCTATCTCCTGCTTCACTCCTTAACTTGGTGTGTTTCTTGAAGCATTTAGTTGTACATGTGGAAAAGGGAGCAGTTTCCTTG